ATAATAAGGCTGCAAACGGATCTTATCTATTGGATTTATATATATTAAAATCTAATTGCAATTGGATATTAAATAGTATAAATAAATTAAATTAAAAAATATGAATATTATATATTATTTATTAAAATAACTAAAAATGACTGTATTTCATGAACAAAATAAATTAAAAATTAATTCTATAAAACTTAAACATATGAAAATTTAGTAAAAGCACAACAATCAAACCAACTTTGCCAATAGACATAATATAAATTTGAGAGTGAGGTTTGGGACAATGGCTGGGTTGTTTCATTGAGACTTGGGTGACTAGGGTTCAAATTTTGGAAACAGCCTTTGTATGTGCAGGTGTAAAGCTGCGCACATCTAGATCTCCCCAAACCCAACATTGGCATGGACCTTGTGCACTAAGCTTCCCTTTATATGAGCTTATACATTTAAATCAAATTAAATTGGATCAGATCTGATAAAAGGTAGATTCATATTTGATCCGATTAAAAAATTTTATGGATCAAATTAAGATTACCCTTAATGGGTTCCATTTAGAATTTACATTTGGATAGTCAGATACCTTTTGCAACCCTACTCCATAAGTTGCTCTCCGAAGCCATGCTAGCATGATGAATCAAGATCGGGTGGGTGCATATTTTGATTTCAATTTGAATCAACCGTATAGAGAAAATAAAAGAGTGGCCCTGAATCCTGATTAGCTTGCTAGAGGCTAAGTCTCCTTACTCTGACATGTCATTGGTTGGTATGAGAAAATACTCAAACGACACATCAGCCCATCAGTGAGTTATATTTGTTAAGTAGAATCCAGCATGGGGGAACCCTTTTGGAGGAATTCTTTAGAGCCCAATCATTTTTTGGATTTTGAGAGGGAAGAAAGTTGGTCAATAAGATTTTGGTTCCCATTGACTAAGATACCAATATTCTTTTTCAGATTTATGTGAGATCAATGAAAATTTTATTTTCTATGTGGATAAGTGATATCCATCTCCCAGGTGGGTAAGTAATTTTTTCACCTACGGGTAAAGTTGTCAAAACTTGGATGGAACAAAATTGCCCCTTTTAATAATGACTTTTTATGGCTAAAACAATAATTGTTTTATTTATCTAAGAAATAAAATAATATGGGTAAATGCACTTGCATGAATAAATAGTGCATTTACCCGAGTAACTTCCCAAAAAGCAAACAGGGCCTTAGTTAAATAAGAACTAAAACCATCTGTGAATGGATTAACCAACGACCTCAACATCCATCTGCCATGTGAAAGTCTGAGGGTCTTCACATCCCAGACATCCAATTCTTATACTATTTCTTCAGTACTAAATGCTTAAAATATGAGAACCCTGCTAACTTGACAAAACATAAATAAATACACCATACAAGTAGATCAATATTAAAACCTTGTCAGTTGTCACCAACCAAGAATAACCAAATTCAGATCCGGACCGTTATATCGCTTTAAAAAATATGTACAACCAAATTGGAACAGTGCAATAACTCAGACCGCCCAATGCTCTCCTCACACAAGTCACAAAGCCCAAATTGGAACAGTGGAATAACTTCAGACCTAACAGTAACTTGTAAAGTATACCTTCTCATAAATAAGCTCATTCTCTGGTTTATTTGTAGTGTAAATGAGGAGAAAGTAGGGATGCAGTTGTTCCAATTCCTTTTGCACCACCTCTCATAGCTCATCTCATACTACCAGAGTCTACCACACAACCAGTTCCTGTTTCCTTTTTGTTTCAGGTTCTACTTATTTATATATTTATTTTTTGAAACCAACTTCTTATTAATTTTGTCAGGAGTAAAATAGGAAATAAATGATGTGGTCCCCTACTTGTATGGAAGAGAATGAAAGTGGGTATTGCAAATTTCCATTTCATTTTTTGGATGCAAAAAATAAAATGCATCGCCTATAAGTACAAACATAAAAGTGCACATTCACAAGTAGGGATGCAAATCCTAGCTGTATAAAACGCCTGCAAATTCAAATCCTTGAGAAGATCAACTCACCAACCCATCCAAACAATTTTAATGCTCAACCTCAACAAACCTATCCAAACAACTTTAATACTAACCTGACCAACCTATCTAAACAACAAACCTTGGTGATTGCATGAAAGGAAAATATCTAAAACTAATGTAATCTTTACGCAGCTCCCATTTTCTCAGGTCATAAAGTTATCTTCATCATCATTAAAATTACTACCAGAATACACATAAAGCAACAAGAAAACACCTATAGAAATGACAAGAGGAAAATGCAAAAGAAACTAGTTAAATGGTTGCAAGCAAAAATGGTACAAGATGGTCAGAGAACTAGCTGCGAAACCATGAATCTCCTAGTCAAATTCTTTATTCATCAAGGTAGAACTCAATTAAAATATAGAGCAAAAGGCAAAGCAATACTGGGTAGAAAATTCCACTATTGGGGAATATAATGTAAATTGTTCTCATTATCACTTAAAAATTTCAGCTCTAGCACTTCAGATCCAGTAAATGACATCACTATTGCATGCCACATATACACAAGATGTGAAAAGAAAGCACATAAAAAACAGAAAGTTATAGCAGTTCAACGAGTTAAAAACAAATAAATCTTTGGACATTATCTAGATACAACACCAAGACAACAACTTGTATGGCTGATCAAACAAAAGTACTACTCAAGGGAACAAATATGCGGAATGACAACATAGCCAATCTACAGCACTCACAATGGGACAACAAAGTGTATCACTGGCGTAGTACAATATTTGCATCTGATTGCAATATTTAATTAAAGGAAGATGGTACGAAAAACCACAGTGAACTTAAATATTCATCATTACGCCAGCCATGGGCCTTGGAATCCAAGAATGCTGTCCTAGGACCCAGCACTGCAGCCACTTGAAGATTGCTATATAACCAGGAACAAATAAGGCATTACAAGAAACAGTTCCTAAGCCAATTATGTTCCTTCTTTACAATAAAAGTCCAATTAAGGCTTTTCATCCAAGCAAATTAAGAGTGTAACTATGGCCTTCAGTGTCATTTTAGCTCTTTCCCTTCAATGGGTGTATTATTTATTGATTGCCAGCATTCTAGCCATAAGATATAGCCTTAATTGCAGCCACTTGAAGAATGAAGATTGCTATATAACCAGGAACATATAGGCATTACAAGAAACAGTTTCTAAGCCAATTATAGATGTTCCTTCTTTACAATAAAAGTCCAATTAAGGCTTTTCTTCCTAGCAAATTAAGAGTGTAACCGTGGCTTTCAGTGCCATTTTAGCTCTTCCCCTTCAATGGGTGTATTATTTATTGATTGCCAGCATTTCTAGCATTCTAGCCATAAGGTATAGCTATCTTATAAATTTTTTCCATTAGTTTAGTTTGTTTGCTTAGTCACAAAGTACTAAATTTGAACACCTCTACTTCATCATCCACCCTGCTTTATGTTCTTGAAGACAACCTAATAAGTACAGAAAGAAGATAGAAACAAACTCTCACTATTCAGCTATAACTTAATTAAAGATGTCCCCCCCCGAAAGAGGTTCCAAAATTATGTTCTTCATTCACTACTTACTGTAAAACCTAAGAAATCTTAATTTTGTTCTTTTAGCTACCTCCAAAATGAGCCAGCCATGCTGGATTTTTCTTATTGACACTTATTTTTGTAGGGAGAGGTACCACTTCGTGCCTCTCTAAGGGTTGCTTGCAAGTGATTTTACTTGTCAAAAAAAAAAAAAATTGATCATTGGCACACTGGGACACCCAAAAGCCTATGGACTATAGAAAGTTAGGGATATAAAAACTTAGACCTGAGGGATCCACAAGTCAATCACATATCACCATTTCTAGTTTCTTAGTCACAATAACCAAAATTATGTCATCTACAAGCTACATGACAAAGCTGCTTCTATATGTATTCAATAACTCATCATTCATACTGAATACATATATGGCCTCAAATAAGGATTATCATGATACATTCGTCAAGGGTAGATATTCCCATTCAGTCTCAGTTATAATAAGTTATTGATAGAGACATTTGAGAAAGATCTCCACAAACGCCCAACCAAAATTATCTATAAACACATCAAATTCGGTTTTTTTTTGGTCGGGGGTAGGAGAGGAAGGGGGGATGGGGTCAGAGCAGGACTCTTAGAAGTTAGAAGAATGATCATCTCCTTGGAATTTTCAAAACACAATATCTCCAATGATTTATACCATGCAACGTAAGATCTTTTCTCTCTTTAAGAATCCAAGTGTAGAACTTCTCTCTTAGGTCCAAAGAAAAGGATTAGATTGGGGATTTTACAACTTCATAAGATTTTTCAGCCCACTAGATCTCTCATATGGAAGATATTTCTTGATTGCCAATGTATTTAACCTCTACTCCTATATTTCCCCTTCGCCGAATATTTACACAACTTTCAATCATAATGCAAATTTTAGTTGATAAACCTAGATGGACTTATACTTAATAGCATACTATGTTTCTCAGCAAATTTCTTGTGACTACATCAGTAAGTTTGATTTGTCCAGAAAATGAGAGAATGAGAAATATTCTAGAATTTGCCATGAAAACCCTAAAACAAGCATTTGGTCAGCCTAAGAAAGTAGATAAAACCCATTTCTCAAAAAAAAAAAAAAAAAAAAAGTGGAGAGAACCCACAATAGTGGGCCCCATCCCTGCAACTCTTTCGAAATTGCCATTTTTTGCCAAATTTAGCACTTTCAAGAAAAGAAATATTTTCTTTCCTCCTACCGTTTATCTTCTTCTAGTTTCTTTCACTTTCTTACATATAACAACCAAATGAACCCCATAAGACCAAGTTCTAGACAAGATTTCTTGTCATGATTTTCCAAGTCCTCAAACAGCCAAATCTCAACTTACTTTGGCCTTGAAAAGTCCAAACAGATCTTATAACAAACATCAAAGTAGCATTGCAAAATATGTGTAAAACTAATAAGGAGCACCAAGACATAACAAGGCCACAAGATTTACCAAGTAAAGGTACTCTGAACTTTGCACATTATGAAATATAGTGAAAGCACAATTATAACTTGCCAAAGCCAAAAGTGGGTAAAAGGATCTCTAAGACATTAAGATCCTTACTCTAGTTCTGAATTGCATACATAAACATCAGCTGTGATCTCACTCCTAGAAACCACTTGAATATAAACACATTGAATTGTTGGACGAATCCCAACAACTGTCCTTCAAAAAGCCCCAATGTCAACTTTTAAACTGGCCTCAGAAATTATACAAAAATAACCCTCACAACAAAAATAATGGAGAGAGAAGCCACAGAAAATGGGGTGGAAATAAAAGAAAACTTATAAGTTCAGCCTTTGGTTCTCATGATTGTAATGCTGCCTTTGCCTCCTTCCGTGCGAATTTTGGTTTTAACAACTACAGGCTTTCCAGAAAAAGCTGAAGTGGGGTAAGAAGCAGAAGAGTCATCATCAATATTGTGCTTTGACTTTGATGGTGGTGTGCGTATCCTTTGGTTTATGTCCTTCAGAGTTACATTTCCATGGATCCCACATGGTTTGATGAGGGCAAATGGATAAGCAACAGAAGAAGCAAGTTTTGTGGGCGTCCGCATGTACAATTTCCTTCCTATGTATGTCAAATAAGAACTCTAAAATTGATTCCTTTGAAATCTGAACAGCACAAACTAAAAATTAAAGACTGCAAACAGATCAGTACCTTTAAAAACATTCCGAGGAGATGGGGTCGCACATTCTTGCACAACATTAGGTTCTTCTACTTCAGGAGGGGTGTTGCAGAACTCTAGGGAGAAAAATATTATATGTCAAAAATTTTTAGTTAAGACACCATTAAATAAGTCTAATTATTGATTAATTGAATGAAGATATATGAAATACCTGAAATATCAAGTTGCTCATCAAGCAACCCAGACACATTGCTGCAGCCCATGCGCATCAAAAGAAAAATTATTCAAATGAAGGTGCAAACTGATTGCATAAAAATGTAAAGTTGAAAGAAGCATACATATCATCAGAGCTAAAATGCATCTCCGCATCATTAAAGCAATTGGCAAGCCACCCCTCACATGATTGATCCAGGCCCTCATTCCCAGAGGTAAACCTATCTACTTGCACCAATGAAATAATTAGAATAGCCTTCACTTCAGCTCAACAATATTCATGTGGCAACAGAAGTTATGAGAGAAACCTGTAAATTCTGAAATCCACTCTGAACTTTGAGGTAAAGCTTCTTCAATTGAATCTTCCCTATCCTGCACAAAAAGTGAGGAACATAACACCCCCATCTTGCATATCATATCCACTGTAATAATTAAGAATGGCATTTCTATAATAACAAATACAAGTATATCTATGTCTGATGGCATATCCATTATAGTGCAATCATATTTCAACCTACATTAAGGAAATAAGTATGAAATGCATCATTTTCCCTAATTTGGTGGTCAAATAAAACCCATATGAAAAAAAAAAAGTAAAACCAATAATGTACAGATAAAAAATAACAATAATTAACTATATGTAAAATTTTATCAATGAATTGTGCTGCTCCACTGACCTTTGATTTTACGAAGGCAGATGGTAACTCTTCATTACAAAAGCAAGGATCTATAACTTGAGTATTGAATTGTAGCATCCGCCGCCTCTTTGTTTGGGAAGTAGGCTCTCTATATTCCTCCAGTTCCTTGTTCACATTTTCTGAAATACATTCGTTCATATTAAGAAGTCAATATGCAATACAACTACACTTATAAACACAAAAGCAACAAATATTACAAAATAAAAAGAGGAATAACGCACTCCCACTTTCAGCAGCATGGTATGCTAAATCTCCACAAGCCTTTATTGGGGTTGCTTCATCAAACATGTAGGATAGATCTTCTTCATTCTGGCTCACATCATCCCATAGATAATGAGAGGTGTCTGCTCCAAACAAATTGACTGATTCCACATAAGATACCCTCTCAAAATGTTGTACGTCTAACAGAAGAAATATTGTGAGGACTTACCGAGATGAGAATCCTTTTGGATATAATATTCATCACTTTTCCATTCCCATGGCTCGCTATAACCATTTCATAGGAAAGAAAAAAGGAGAAGAAACAGATTGAGTCAATCAAACTGAAGCAGAACCCATAATTAATTAATACAATAAAGCTAAAACTAGAACAAATAAAAATGTGAAAATTACTTGGGTTCAATCTCCAGGCAGATCCATCGTGATAGAAACTTAACAAAATCAAATAGATGTTACAAACAAATACTGATAAAAGGAAAAAAAAAAAAGCGGGATTTGACTGTCTTAAAATTTTGAAGAGAAGAACAACGACCAAAAACAGAAAATAAAATATGAATAATCTCGGTTCAACTCACTAGTTACCGAAATCTTCATAAGCACAAACAAAATACTCAATCAACACCCAAGTAATGTAAGAAAAATGGGGAAATACAAAATCCCATTTAAGTCACTACTTACTACATTTCTCATCAACATCAAAGAAATGCAAGATTAACCCATCAAAATGCACGAAAAAAACTCACAATGCAAACAGTTTACAGCGAGTACATTCCAAGGAACGGCGAGATTTTCAGAGATTCAGCAGCAATTTCCAGAAAAATTTAAAACAAACAAAGTCAAGATGATCAAGAGTTTTAAACTTACTCCATTTTGTATTAGACCAACAAGATCAGTTTCCAGGGATTGTAACGTCGACTTAACTGTTGAATCGCCGGTTGAGTATGTATTGATCTCTGCTCCCTGCTGGAGTAAAACCCTAGAGCAGACTGCTTCGTTCTTCCCTCTTCAAGTAACTGTCATAAATAAAGGAGAGAGACGCATGCGTACCTGTGATTCGGTAGAGTAGGACTTGTTTGATCCGACCCGATATACGAAGATCCGAATCTTTACACGTAGCACGTGGCTAATTCCTCGGCTAAAATCTAGGTCAGGTTCGGCTTGGTGCCTGGTGGGATGTGGATTGTGTAAGCCAATGTAGAGTGTAGACTAATTTTAGACCCGCATCCGGTGGATAAAATGGATTCATATACAGCCCCCTTTTCTTTCAGGTCTAATTGCATTTCTAACTTATGGGGCTGTTAGGTGGCCTTTGATAAATTTAAAATCCGATATCTGAAAAGCTAAAAAGTAAAAATGATTTTATGCTATTGTTTGGGTTTAAAATCTAAAATGAAATAGAAATGATTTTTATGTTTTTTAAAGGCTCTAAAAGATAAAATCATTTGAATTGAGAAACATGTTCCAAGATGGCTCACATAATCCGAAAAAAAAAAGTTTTATTGATGAATAATTTAACCAAGCAAAGTTTTAAAATCCATTGTGGAAAACACTTATTTGGCATTGAACTTGTGCTGATTTTATGATTTTTAGGGCAATGAAACCAAACATAATTGTGATCATATAGTCGAGTCGGGTCCATGATACAAGATCTTAGCGACCATCCAAATTTGCTAAATCGCTCCATTTTGTATTCGGGTTTGGCCCGGACAGACACATACCTTTCGGGCCGTTGAGAAATCTTTTGGACCATTGACCAGCAGAGAGGAACGTTACTCTCGGAGTCACGAAAGGAGCACATATCCAAAAACACGGGTAGTGGCACATTGCTCAATTACTAATGGACCGTTGCTGCCCCATGTGAAATGGCATAAACGCCCTCGCCTTGGGATGTGTGCTCCTTTCCTGTTAAGATCGGCCGCGAGATGGGTTGACCTTAACGAGATGCTTGCAAACAACGACACCGTGCAACTCCTCGTGTTCTTGGATGCAGATAAGGTGGGACCCGTTAAAACATGTCCTTTCATACGGCCCACAGGATGAAGTTTCCAAGAATTGCTGCTCTTTTGTCTGCAACTCCAAGCAGTCAGGTTGTACAATTCTCAGTACATTTTAACATGAAGCCTTTTTCAAGTTTTAACCGTTGATCGCTTGTTCTTGTATGAGGATTAGCTTTTAATTGGGTCCCAGTTCATTCACTACCGGACCGGACGTAGAACCGGTTTGGCCAGTGGGTCGTAGGCTAAATGGTTTAATCGGTTCATTTGATTATTTAATTAAGGAAAATGTAATAACTAAAAATTTTAAAATAGCAGAAAATAGTTTTAAATTATCTTTATATGATGCCAATACGTGCTTTTCTTTAAAAGGTAATCATTTAAATTCGGCATATTATATTGGTGGAATCCATAATATTAAATTATTAATGCTTATAAAAGGTAGCCATTTAAATATTTTAATCTTTAAATCATCAATAAGTTAATGCACTTAAGGAAGTTAATAAAAACTCTTTCAAAAATTAAAGGGAAAATTATAGATAGCCACTCTACACTTAGAAGGATGCAATATTTAACCCCTAAAATTTTGTTTTGCGATAAAGAACCACCCCCCCCCCCCCAAACATCTAGATTCCATTAATTTGCCCCTTAACCAGCTAATGGGGTTAACTTAAAATTAAATTAATAACTTGGCCATTTGAGATTTTTTGGACTGATAGGAACAAATATCAAAATGATGAGAATACCATTTTAAAGCATAAATCATTCTCAAGATGAACTTTGTTGATGAAAGAAAGTTGATAGAAACATGTGAGAGTTAGGATTTTAGAAAAAAAAAACAATTAAGGGTCCGTTTGGTTTGTGATTGGAATCGGAATGGGAATCCTTGGAATTGGAATCGGAATGGTCTAATTCCCCTACCTGTTTAGTTCAAACAGGAATCGAAATTAGATTCCGATTGATGCTGTTTGGTTCATCAAGAGGCTGGAATTGGAATCAGCCATGATTTCCAATTTTGCCCTTAATAAAAATAAAAAAGCAAAACATGCATGAAAATTCCAAAAAATACAGAAATTGCAGAAATTTTATAGGAAATGCAGAAATTATAATAATTTTGTAGCAAATTCAGAAAAATGCATGAAAATTTTGTAGCAAATTCAGAAATTTTGCTTGTAGCTATCCACCGCTTCTTCAAACATCTCCTCCGTCTCATTGTTAATCCACCCATACTCACTCATGAACGGACTGACTAGGGTTTTTGGAGGGTAATTACCAATAAAATCCTTCCACACGTTATCACCCTCCAAATCCTTAACAACCTCCAGAAGGCAGCTGTTGCATTTGAAACCTCCCCCGAAGCTGATCATCATCACCCTGTCACCTCTTCTTAACCTCTTCTTGGCCTCCTTGCTGGCTCCAAGTCGTACTCCGTCAGCCCCAAACTCTTTCCCACCCCATCGATAACCGCCTTTTCCGCCGGTGTAAAGGCAAAAATGGTCGACCCCCTTGTTGGCAGACGCGCTGTCCTTCTTGGGCCAAGGAAGGAGGTGTGTTACTATAACATATCGAAGCAGCTCCCTTAGCAGTAGCACCTTAGGTGCTAATACTCTGAGGTTCTCGAAAAAGGTACGAGTGGCAAATTTAGGGAGGTTCTTGCCAAGGTGAAACTCTAGTCTACCCGCGGCATCTTCCTTCTAAATTGCACATCCAAAAAGAAAAAAAAAAAAAGGAAACTAATAGCGGAATGGGAATCACATTCCGGGGGAGGGGGTCGGAAATGGCCATTCCCTCGTATGGGAAAATGACATTCCGCCTACACATTCTCATTCCGATCGACCAAACATCCGGAAATGAAATGATCCATTCCGATTCCAATTCCAGAGTCCTATTCCTTCGAACCAAACAAACCCTAAGTGAAAAGGGCAAAATGTTCTTACAAAATAGCAAAAAGGTAGTTTGGTGTTTTATAAATGTTGAACAAAACATCCCATATAAATGCCAACAAAGGGGCAAGGTGCAAAATCCAGAGGTTCATGGGGTCTTTGTCACAAAGCAAAAAAAGTTCAGGGGGCTACTCACTACCTCCTAATTACACAGCTGTATGTTATATACCCAATACATTTTCATGTATAATCCTTTAATAATTTTCACTTGTACTTGTCATGGTGTGTGCCCTTCTCGTAGTCTAATAAGGTTAACTATGTCAACATTTCTAATAACCAATAGAAATTCTAATTCTGGCCCATTAGGTTACAAGCCTTATGAGCCATAAGATAGCCAATTATGTCCTTGCCCCCGGATTTCATTGTCAACCCAATTTGGGTGAGTTTGTTGCTTTCTATTGATGATTAAATGAATCTTAGCTTCTAGGCTTCTAAAAATATAAGAAATAAAAAAAAAAATTCGCTACTAGCTAGTTCATGATTTTGAAAGTCCAACCATGTAGTCCAATTTAAGTTTGACAACTACTACAGAAAAATAAAAATGTTTGACAACATTAATATTTATAAACAAGTTTAATGCAAGAGTTGGATTTCTTTGATCTATAGAAAGTGGGACCTATGAAAAAAAATCTGATTTTGTGTTGCAATGTGCTTTTAATTTTCACCCACAATGCATGAGGCAAAGTTTTCAAGAATAATTAATAGCATCCTCCATCCTTCTTATATTTTTCATATTTATTTGAAAGAAAAAGACATGCAATTGTTCTCTATGAAAAGACATTTCCAACTTTGCCTTATAATGTGTGATGAATTTCATGTAAAATTTCCAACTTTGCCTTATAATCTGTAATGAATTCCATGTAAAGAAAAGAATCAAAGTGTTGCATAACACATGCTTTCACTTTTCTAACAATTCATTTTCATTTGGGTTTTGGAGAGGAAATGAGTTTATGAAAGTTTCAAAGCTTTTCCATGCAAACATAGTAAGATTCGTAGAAAGGCAGACAAMAAGACATTTTCATGGGTCCTACCTCATCTCTAGAGTGAGGAAATCCAAAAGTGGCACAAGACAAGGTGGTGGGACACATGAAAAAGACACACAAATTAAAGAAATATATCTTGGTGCATGGGTCCCACCTTATATCTATAGGGCAAATAAATTTAAGAGTTGCATAGTTTATTAACACTTCTAAAGTTTTAAATTTCGAATTCCATTTTGAATTTTAAAAAATTTTGAACAATGGAGTTTTTTATGCAAAGTATTTCATTAGTATTTTTACATATTTATAATGTTTTGAATTCTAAGCTATTTATTTTATAGGTATTGTATAAAATTTTAAATTGTAGAATATATAGTTCAAAATATCATAAAAAATCTGAAATTTCAGCCAATATACATTCACCCAAAGTGTTAGATATTTTCATTTCAATTACCATAATAAAATCGAAACTCACTAAAATTTAAAACCATAATTTAAATTGTTATATCTCAAAGGGTTCGACAACAAACTTCAACCAACTATATACAAGGTATTGAATCTATAGATAGTATAATACCCATCAACTTTTGTCTAACAATATTAAATAGAGATGTTGCAATTTCTAATAAGCTAGTGGGCTTTTACATAACAAGTTAGAAATCGATCTTTTTCTTGATAGACAAGATAGAAATGGATTTAATCACCCATTTGATCACCTTAAATGAATTGAATTAGGTTGGATAAAGGAGTACCCATTAAGTTGACCTAATTGATTTGATTAATTGCACATGCATTCATCACCTCCAACTCAATATTTACAACATTAGTTAAGCAAAAAACAAATTTTTAAATCAGCTATAGGTGACTTAAAGCAACCATTCGAGATTTTTTTTTGTCAAAATGTGATCAGCTAGATCCACATTTATAGATATTGAGAACATAATATGAGCATCATTTCTCTCAAATAAGTCTAAGGTGATTGATGTAGGGATATTTGGCAGGTCTTAGATCGCACCACTTGGCGTCGGCCAAATATAAAAGGGGGTATTCACCTCGAGGTAAGTATCTTCAAAATCCCAAGAAAATCATCCTTGGCTATTAAGGACTAAGCTCTAAGCTCTCGTCTCTTGCATAGTCCAACCCCTCTTAAGCACTTGGCTAACTTGACCATCATAGTCTCCACCCCTAGGATAACACCCGGGACCTTTGACATGTGCTCTTCTCTTGTTTATAGATCAGACCTATCGGCCTCAGACACTAGTGAAATCACCTTGTCTCCCTTGGTCTCATATTTGGCAGCAACAATTGGTGTTGTTTATGGGAACATTTTCAAGACTTCCCTCTAAAAACAAGCTAACTTAATCCATCAAGTTTCTGATATGGTTGATAAGCAAGACAACACTCCTAACTCTCAGAACCTAGTCACGATGGATGAATTCAAGCTGGTCCTAGAAAGGTTGGACGACCTAGCCCAACGGTTGGATGAGGTACGGCGTCTGACAGGAGGCCACCCATAGGTTGGCTGCCTTGTAGGAAGCTAGGGGCAATACAGTGGATGATCCACACATGCACCACCAGACCAACGCCTGATCAACCAAGAGAAGGTTGACCCCTCAACATCCAACAACAGTAGCTGACGGGCTAGCAAGTCCCCTTCAAATACCTCATGGCTCCCCAACTGGAGAGGCAAACCCATGGGGTCCCACAACAACCATAGGGACCATGATCCCCACTATCGCCATTCGGAGAGCAACTGGGATGATGGCGGGTGCTTCGGCCACTACAGTCCTCCTCAGAGGTCTGGAGGCCAATTCTATGCCTCTCCCCATACTATGTCTGACCTTCATGATCTCCTCAACAACCACCGAGCTCACAAGGCTCAAGATGTACCAGCATCTGAGCACTCCAAGAATAGGGCCAACCCGTCCCACGTGAAAGAGAACCTGGATGAGGTCCAAGCCCTAATTAACCGACGTCTCAGTGACCTTCAGGTGTAAATAGGCACCATCCAACATCAGATATGGCAAGTGAAGGAGGGCCAAGGTGATGCCTCCACCAGTCAAAACCTCTAATCTACCCGGATGGAGGCCTTCACAGACTCCCACCTTAGAGCCGCTCCCACCCTGGAGACCTATGATGGGAGCATAGATCTAGACAACCACTTGGAAAGCTTCATACCCCTCATGCTCCTCTATGAGTACTCTAATGCCCTGATGTGCCAATCTTTCCAAGCCACTTTCAAGGGAGCAGCACACAGATGGCTCTCCACACTACCCCCTCAGTCCATTAACTCTTGGGACCAGATTGCAGATCTCTTCCTCTCCCACTTCATTAGTAGTCAATAGTGCTAAAAAACCATTGTTTTCCTAATGTCCATCAAGAAGAAGCACAGGGAAAGCCTTCGGGCGTATATGGACCGATTCAACCAGGGAGAGCTTGAAGTAAGGGATCTTGACTCCTCAATTTCCATGCACACGGCCATCAGCAGCCTCCAGCCAGGACCCCTCAGCTGGTCCATCTCCAAGACTCCGCCCAGGAACAAGGCCGAGTTCTTGAAGAAAGTCCAAAAGTACATCGCCGCTAAGGAGGCCGAAGACAACAAGCGCCTCAAGGAACTAGAGGCCGAGGCTAGCCGAGGGGCTACAAACAAGAAGATGAAGGAAAGGGGTGGCCAGGGCCACAACCACACCAATAAAGAGAAAAAGCTGTCGGCCCCTTCCTTCAACAAATATGTGCCACTGAATTCCACCCGAACACATATACTCATGCAAGTAGGGAAGGAGGAATACATGAAGTGGCCGACCAAGCTGAAGAGGAACCCTAAAAGAGGTAACCCCAAGAAGTACTATAAGTACCACCGCGACACTGACCACGATACCAAGGACTGCTACGAACTCAAGAATGAGATCGAGTCCCTCATCTACTGCAGGCACCTGAAGGTGTATGTTGGGGGCGATGCTAGAGCCTCGTCCTCGTAGCAACAGCAATAGGTCGGGCCCTAGGCCGATCACCCCCTACCTGGAGTTATTAAAGTCATTGTTGGGGGCTCGGCCTTGGGTGGAGCATCTACCTCGGCCCAGAAGGCATACGCCAGGTAGTACAACATCTAGAGCTTGGTGCCTAAAAGGCCAAGGCCGAAAGACACAATCTCCTTCTCTGACGATGACTTGCAAGGGGTCTCATTGCCCCATGATGATGCGTTGGTGGTTTCTATGTCTATCGCCAACTACATGGTGATGAGAATCCTCGTGGATAGTAGCTCATCGGCTGACATCTTGTTCTACGACACATTTGATATGATGCAGCTGACGCTAGATTGGTTCCAACCTGTAGATGTGCCATTAATGGGTTCTCCGGAGTAGTCATCAAGCCCAAAGGGAAGATCACCCTACCAGTCACAATAGGGACCGAGCCTCAGCAAGTTATCTAGATGACTGTGTTCTTGGTCATGAAGATAGGCTCCCCATATAATGCCATCATAGGTAGGCCGACCTTTCATTCACTCAAGGTGGTTTTCTCGTCCTTTCACCTCGCCATAAAGTTCCCCACTGAGCAAGGTGTGGGAGTAGTCAAGGGGAACCAGCAAATTGCTAGGCAGTGCTATGTTGTAGCACTAAAAGGCAAGAACAATGAAACTTTACTGCTGGAAGGGCTCAACCTCAGCAATTAACCAGCGAGCTGAGGCTAGCTGGCCGAAGACCTCATCTTGGTTCCCCTAGATGAGGCTTAGCTTGAGAAGACAATACGAGTCCAGTCATGCCTCTCTTAAGACACACTTTCCAAACAGGTAAGCTTCCTCAAAACTAATGCAGATGTATTTTCTTGGTCTACCGCTGATATGCCAGAAATTGACCCCTCGGTCATTACTCATAAGCTAAGTGTGGACCCGAGTTGTATG